TGGACCCGCTGGTTGGTGTCGTGTCGAAGGAATGCTGACTGTTGGTGCCAAGAGGTCACGAATCTACGATTACCTGCTGGAGCATGACGAAAACGTCATCCAGAGCCACATGGACAATCTGGCGAGAGTCCATGCATCATCTGTTTCGAACGCGGACGATAACGACGCTACAGCAAGGGAGATTGCAGTTTTCCAGGTGGCTGACCCTGAAAACGTTTCGACTGTGTCCGAGACGCCCTGTGGAGAGACGAGAGTGTTATCACTCGTGTCAAAGCACATGCGTCGCGTTTACAGCAGGTTCAGTGAGCTTCTACTCGTCGACTGCAGTCACAAGACCAACAGATTTGTTGTTGAGATATGTCCAGGATTAATCATGTACTGACCAGGATTTTACATGATTATTTACAGATACAACTATCAGCTTCTCACGTTCATGACAATGAACAAATTTGGTGAGGGAACAGTCGTTCAGCAGTCGCTGATTGAGGCTAACGGCGATTGGCATATGGAGAGGGCCGTAGAACACTTCAAACGCTCGCATCCTACGCGGATTCATCTGCTACGAGTCATTGTCGTGGACAAAAACTTAAACGAGATTCGCGTGTTGGAATCGAAATTTCCGGAGGCCAGAATCCTGATCTGTCACTTTCACGATATCAAGTATCTTAAGGAAATGAGGGCCAAGCCAGAATTTGGGAAGATTTCGTCAGATGATGCTAGCCAGGTTGACGGAGCTATTCACAAGATGGTCTACGCAGTCTGTGAGGATATTTACAAGGCGGCGCACAACGCTTTGGAAGGTATTTGTCAGCGCGTTGGTCTATATGGATTTTATGAGTATTTCCAGAAGAACTGGGACTCGTGCCAAGACCGATGGGTATACTACCTACGTGCGAAGCTACCTCACTTCAAGAATCACACTAATAATCGACTGGAAAGCTTTTTTGGAAAGTTGAAGGATGGTGTGGATGGATCAATGAGCATGGCGATGTGTGTGAAAGCACTTGTCGCCCACGACCGCCGCGTGTCGAACGAATACCAATATCGACTCTCTCGTATTGGTCGCTTCGTTAACAGTTCGTACGACGAAGAGATGACAACGGTTTTACACTTCAAAACCCATTACGTTGCCCAGCAAATCGAACAGCAGTATGCTACAGCGCTTGCAAAAGCGGAAACGTACAATTACGTGGATGATTCTGACGGAGGTGATTTCGTGGTTGTCAACGGAGTATTCTCTGAACACAAGGTGAATTGTTGAAGAAGGTCAAGCAATTCTGTTATGAGCATTTCACTGATGCTGATCAAGGTTCTGCAAAAAACAAGTTGAGGACTCAATTCGAACGCTACAGAGAGGCAGTGAGGGCTACCCACCTTATTGCCAATGAAATGGCGGACATTGAGGACGAAACAGAATTCGACGAAATGCTACAGGTTGTCTTGGACCAGTGGCGTAATGTCCGCCAACGGAAAAGGACTTCTAACATAAAGGGTGACGAAGATGGCAGCGCTGACTCTGACGAACAGGGAGGGGATTGTGACGTGGTTAATGACGATCAAGTCAAGGCTGAGTTTGGTCTCATTTCCAGTGAAGAGGATGGAGATGACGACGTGAAGGGGACCAGGGAAGATGGAGCAGAAAGCAAAGACGAAAAAGATCATGAAGGGATAGCTGTGAATATCCGTCTGAATCCTAAAGCGAAGAAGGTGGGCAGACCCCCCAAAAAGAAGAAAGCTTCCAGTGCTGGTGAAAAGAAGGACCGAAAATGGTTTGAAGCTGCGGAATCAGGCCGAAAGATTGCTGGTGAAGTGACCCTAACAGCTTTACTCAATTCTCTGGATCACGAAAAGCCAGGCCTCGAGGAGACGCAAAGGAGGTTATCTGGTGTACTCGTGAAACACGGAGATACAGAGAAGAAAAAACCGAAGTACAAAATCATGAAGAATCCTGTTCTGATCCTGGATCCATTCTTTATCCTCCCCAATAAGCTTCTTGACGCCTGCGTGAAACTCCTACCTGTCAGGAATACTGTGGCGAGTGCAATATCTATTAAAGATTCGCAGTCAAGTCAAACGTCGAGTCCACAGAGAGCTACTGGTAAAGAAGGTGTGGAAACGTTGATCATCAAGGACGTGGGGAGTTTTTCTCGTCGCCAAATTGAGACTTTTAAGCGCGTCCAGAACCTGAAGGATG